GATTCGGGGTAACGTGCGTTGCGTTGCGTTGCGTTCCGTTGCGTTGCGTTGCGCCGGGGGGGGGGGCGGGGCCGGCGCCAGTGAGTGGTTTCGTCAACAACAACAACAACAACAACAACAACTACTACTACTACTACTACTACTACTACTACTACTATTACTACTACTACTACTACTACTACTACTACTACTACTACTACTACTACTACTACATCAGCAGCAGCAACAACAGCAACAACAACAACAGCAACCACAGCAACAACAGCAACAACAACAACAACAATCATGTTAAGACTGTTCGCTCTTATACGCTCGCGTGCCACTCAAAACGTATATCCCGAACCCTCGGTACCCGCGCCCTCCGTCTTCGACCCGACCCCCTTGAGGGGGTATCTTTCTTACTTGCATTGTGTATTTCGTGCAGCCCCTGAGGCAGGGGAAGAGAGCACGGATGGAAGGAAGGGACAAGGGGGAGGGAGGAGGATGGAGCACGAGAGAGACTAGGAGGGGGGCTAGGAGCAGAAAACACGTGGCAGAACCAGACGGGCAGGTTGGGCGGGTAGACCCTACTAGGCGGGTCGGGAAGGAGGGCACAGGCGGCCAGGTCGAGCAGGCGGGTTGTTCACGCGTGCGTCTTGCATGAATCGCGAGGAAGTCTCGAGAGACAGCTCGATTCCCAAATTAATCACAAGGAACTCCACAGCGAGAGCGTGACCCCTGTGTCAAGGGCGCGGCGTTTGAAGAAATTGCGAGGAAGTCCCACGCGAGAGCCCCATTCCTGAATAAATTGTGAGGACGTCCCGCGCGAGAGCGCGTTCTGGGAATACATGATAAGGAAGTATCCGGCGGGAGCCGTTGTTGTAGTTCGGGGGCCAACATCGCAGCTTGAGGAGGAAGACTCTCCCTGATGAAAACCCGGGTGTGAGCCCTGGGGAAAGGCACTTCAAATGAAAAAGCACCTATATTACTGGAGGGGGGGGATCAACAATACTTATTCCCAAATCAGGGCTTGCAATGAAAGGGTCCTAGCAGATATTGAAAGATTTGGCGAAAATTCCCCGCCGACTTTTTGTTTTTTCCTGGGCAAAGGGGGTCTTTGCTTCTGCCTGTCACATTATGCTCCTCATACGTCTAAAGACAGCTTCAACACGCCACGCCACCGGCGGACAGATCCTGCCCCCCCTGTGGACTGCAAAGGCACAAACAAGTGTCACGGACTCGGTGCGCGGGCGATTCGCTGCCACTGCTCGGGAGAGCGCTCCCCCAACAAAACGTGGCTCGTTTCCCGCCGCGAGGGATGCAGAGAAGCGGAGATGCAGCAGGCTGCGACCACAGCCACCCCAGCCTGGCTCGAAAGAGGCAGCCGCGCGAGGAGGAGGACGAGGAGGAGGAGGGGAGGAAGAGGGAGAGGCGGAGGAGGGAGCGAGAAAGACACCGGAAGCGGCGCTCGAGCCAACCTGCGATGGGCGAGCCGTGGCGCGCGTCGGGGGCTGGGAAAGCAGCAGACGTGCAGAATTCGGGATCCCTTATTGCCCAGAAGCCGTCAGATATGTTATCATATGTTCCTCGAGCAGCGAACACGTACCCGCGTCGAAGATGCCATCACGGCGGCGTTCGTACCACAGCCATGCAAGTGGTGAGCACGGCACACGCCAATGATGCCGATGCAGACTGCCAACTACGCCCAACGGCTCGTGGGGCATTGCGGTCTGCAGTCAGGATGCATGCGACCTGAAGGGCGCTGACCTAAGGAACCCTAAATAAGGAACGAGGCCCAGGATCATTTGGAATCGGCTGGCTAGTAATGATTATAACGACGCTTTCCCGCACCACTTTGGTCAGGAAGCTTGAGCAGGCAGCGAGCGCGTCATGTCAGAGTCACCCATGTTCGCTGGTGTTCCCGCTGTGGCCCTTCATGATGTCTTCCATGGTATTATTGTGCCACACGCCTTCAATGACAGCGACCGCGGCTGGAAGGTAAAGGCATGTTCGTATTGCGACATTTGCTACAAAATCAGTGGTTATTCGAGTACCCAACAGCTCTATGCCAATCGTTCGCTCTCTGAGGTAAAACGACAACTGACGGAAGGCCCTCGGTTCCGAATCATGTCTCAATTCATGTTCCACCATTATATGGAGCAACTCTGCCGTAAGACTCTTAGAGCCAGGCAACTTGTTACTACACTTCCCGTTGATGAGTCCCACACGTAATAGAATAACACATCCGCCAATTGCTGACAGCCCTCCCATCACCATTGCGGCCTTTCTCGAAGTTTCCCTTGAGTGGACGATTCCAACAACGCCGAATCCAATTGCGAGCGAGAAGAGCATGGAGACGCGAAATATGATCAAACGCCCCAGACACTTCCAATCGAAGGTGTCCACCACCAAAAAATCTGTCGCCCTCACTAAGTCCAGCACATGTTGCCACTGGTTTGGCGTGGTACGCATGTCGGCCACCTCCTTAACGACACCGTCGACAATTACACGCACGGCCATCATACCGATTTCTTCCACCATGGAAGGTCCAGTGAAGAGCATGCCGATGGACCAAGTGAAAACGCTGAATGTAGTCCAAAACCCAATGTGCATTTGCCTCGCAAAGCCATCCCCATACAGCAAGGGCAACCAAACTAACACTGGCGCAACCATACCCGATAGAAAAGCAACCGGCCACAAGACATAGGAGAAGAACATGTATGCACGGCGACGGCCGAATTCCGTTTTATCCAGATCGTAGCGGTTCGCAACGCTCAGCGTCCGCTGCAAGTGAACGCTGCTATACCTCGCCAGATTGGGGAGAATCACGCCAAGCGCTAAGTAAATGAACCCCGCAGCCCAATTCTGAACCAACTCCAGAAATTCACTTCTGACTTCGAAAACTGGCCGCGGGAAAATACTCATCAGGTTCCAGCGCTGCGGAACGAGCAGTCCATGGATCACAAATGATGCTGAGCTCATGCTGCTCAACGGTACAACAAAATAATCGACCATAATCGCTAAACACGATGAATTATTCAGCTTCGCCAGCATCGTGACCTGGAATATTTTAAACACGTCGAGGCCGTTAAGCCTGCCTACGCGTGTCCCCTCATGTGTACACATCGAGCAATCGTCGCCTGGTCCATCGGAGTTTGACCCTTGTTCTGCATGCAATGCTTTTGTTGAGACCGGTGAAAAACATGTTTGTGATCCACTGCTGGTCAGCCTCTGATGTGGGTCCAAATCAGTTGTTGTCAGATAGGATGAGATTCGCGCGGGGTCCGCCGAATTAGACATCTCCCACCACACCCACGATACTTCAGGCAGATTGCAGCTTTGCCACCCCAGGGAGGGGGCGAGAGCAACTTCGCCGACTGTGTCCCCGTGGAAGACTTGAGCCTGGCTACGGAAAAAATCCCCGCCAATTTTGGTGGCCAGCTGGGTCTTGGGTTCCCGGTTCCGGGTTCCCGGGTTCCTGGTTATTGGTTCCGGGCCGATACCTATGTTACTGGAGGGGGGGGATCAACAATACTCATTCCCCAATCAGGGCTTGCAATGAAAGGGTCCCATAGGATTCCTCTGGGATTCCTATGGGATTCCTATGGGCTTCGTGAAGGCCCCACACGATTCCCAAAGGATTCCTATAAGATCCGTATATGATTCGTAAAGGCCCTATAGGACTCCCAAAGGATTCCTATGGGATTCCCATCGGAATCCTAAAGGCCCTATAGGTTTCTTAAAGGCTTCCTATAGGAGTCCTATCGGATTCGTAATAAAAGGCCCATAGGATTCCCATCTGATTCCGATGGGAATCCCATAGGATTCGTAAAGGCCTCATAAGACTCCTATAAGATTCCCATGGGATTTCCATAGGATTCGTAGAGGCCCTATGGGATTCCTGTGGGATTCCTATAAGATTCCTAAAAGGTTCGCGGAGACCCTATAGGATCCCCATCGGAATCCTACAGGATTCGGGGTAACGTGCGTTGCGTTGCGTTGCGTTGCGTTGCGTTGCGCCGGGGGGGGTTGGGGCCGGCGCCAGTGAGTGGTTTCGTCAACAACAACAACAACAACAACAACAACAACCACAACTACTACTACTACTACTACTACTACTACTACTACTACTACTACTACTACTACTACTACTACATAGCAGCAGCAACAACAACAGCAACAACAACAGCAACCACAGCAACAACAGCAACAACAACCACAACAATCATGTTAAGACTGTTCGCTCTTATACGCTCGCGTGCAACTCAATACGTATATCCCGAACCCTCGGTACCCGCGCCCTCCGTCTTCGACCCGACCCCCTTGAGGGGGTATCTTTCTTACCTGCATTGTGTATTTCGTGCAGCCCCTGAGGCAGGGGAAGAGAGCACGGATGGAAGGAAGGGACAAGGGGGAGGGAGGAGGATGGAGCACGAGAGAGACTGGGAGGGGGGCTAGGAGCAGAAAACACGTGGCAGAACCAGACGGGCAGATTGGGCGGGTAGACCCTACTAGGCGGGTCGGGAAGGAGGGCACAGGCGGCCAGGTCGAGCAGGCGGGTTGCTCACGCGTGCGTCTTGCATGAATCGCGAGGAAGTCTCGAGCGACAGCTCGATTCCCAAATTAATCACAAGGAACTCCACAGCGAGAGCGAGACCCCTGTGTCAAGGGCGCGGCGTTTGAAGAAATTGCGAGGAAGTTCCACGCGAGAGCCCCATTCCTGAATAAATTGTGAGGACGTCCCGCGCGAGAGCGCGTTCTGGGAATACATGATAAGGAAGTATCCGGCGGGAGCCGTTGTTGTAGTTCGGGGGCCAACATCGCAGCTTGAGGAGGAAGACTCTCCCTGATAAAAACCCGGGTGTGAGCCCCGGGGAAAGGCACTTCAAATGAAAAAGCACCTATGTTACTGGAGGGGGGGGGATCAACAATACTTATTCCCCAATCAGGGCTTGCAATGAAAGGGTCCTAGCAGATATTGAAAGATTTGGCGAAACTTCCCCGCCGATTTTTTGTTTTTTCCTGGGCAAAGGGGGTTTTTGCTTCTGCCTGTCACATTATGCTCCTCATACGTCTAAAGACAGCTTCAACACGCCACGCCACCGGCGGACAGATCCTGCCCCCCCTGTGGACTGCAAGGGCACAAACAAGTGTCACGGACTCGGTGCGCGGGCGATTCGCTGTCACTGCTCGGGAGAGCGCTCCCCCAACAAAACGTGGCTTCTTTCCCGCCGCGAGGGATGCAGAGAAGCGGAGATGCAGCAGGCTGCGACCACAGCCACCCCAGCCTGGCTCGAAAGAGGCAGCCGCGCGAGGAGGAGGACGAGGAGGAGGAGGGGAGGAAGAGGGAGAGGCGGAGGAGGGAGCGAGAAAGACACCGGAAGCGGCGCTCGAGCCAACCTGCGATGGGCGAGCCGTGGCGCGCGCGGGGGGCTGGGAAAGCAGCGGACGTGCAGAATTCGGGATCCCTTATTGCCCAGAAGCCGTCAGATGTGTCATCATATTTTCCTCGAGCAGCGAACACGTACCCGCGTCGAGGCTGCCATCACGGCGGCGTTCGTACCACAGCCATGCAAGTGGTGAGCACGGCACACGCCAATGATGCCGATGCAGACTGCCAAGTACGCCCAACGGCTCGTGGGGAATTGCGGTCTGCAGTCAGGATGCATGCGACCTGAAGGGCGCTGACCTGAGGAACCCTAAATAAGGAACGAGGCCCAGGATCATTTGGAGGAATCGGCTGGCTAGTAATGACTATAACGACGCTTTCCCGCACCACTTTGATCAGGAAGCTTGAGCAGGCAGCGAGCGCGTCAAGTCAGAGTCACCCATGTTCGCTGGTGTTCCCGCTGTGGCCCTTTATGATGTCTTCCATGGTATTATTGTGCCACACGCCTTCAATGACAGCGACCGCGGCTGGAAGGTAAAGGCATGTTCGTATTGCGACATTTGCTACAAAATCAGTGGTTATTCGAGTACCCAACAGCTCTATGCCAATCGTTCGCTCTCTGAGGTAAAACGACAACTGACGGAAGGCCCTCGGTTCCGAATCATGTCTCAATTCATGTTCCACCATTATATGGAGCAACTCTGCCGTAAGACTCTTAGAGCCAGGCAACTTGTTACTACACTTCCCGTTGATGAGTCCCACACGTAATAGAATAACACATCCGCCAATTGCTGACAGCCCTCCCATCACCATTGCGGCCTTTCTCGAAGTTTCTCTTGAGTGGACGATTCCAACAACGCCGAATCCAATTGCGAGCGAGAAGAGCATGGAGACGCGAAATATGATCAAACGCCCCAGACACTTCCAATCGAAGGTGTCCACCACCAAAAAATCTGTCGCCCTCACTAAGTCCAGCACATGTTGCCACTGGTTTGGCGTGGTACGCATGTCGGCCACCTCCTTAACGACACCGTCGACAATTACACGCACGGCCATCATACCGATTTCTTCCACCATGGAAGGTCCAGTGAAGAGCATGCCGATGGACCAAGTGAAAACGCTGAATGTAGTCCAAAACCCAATGTGCATTTGCCTCGCAAAGCCATCCCCATACAGCAAGGGCAACCAAACTAACACTGGCGCAACCATACCCGATAGAAAAGCAACCGGCCACAAGACATAGGAGAAGAACATGTATGCACGGCGACGGCCGAATTCCGTTTTATCCAGATCGTAGCGGTTCGCAACGCTCAGCGTCCGCTGCAAGTGAACGCTGCTATACCTCGCCAGATTGGGGAGAATCACGCCAAGCGCTAAGTAAATGAACCCCGCAGCCCAATTCTGAACCAACTCCAGAAATTCACTTCTGACTTCGAAAACTGGCCGCGGGAAAATACTCATCAGGTTCCAGCGCTGCGGAACGAGCAGTCCATGCATCACAAATGATGCTGAGCTCATGCTGCTCAACGATGCAACAACATAATCGACCAGAATCGCTGAACACGAAGAATTATTCAGCTTCGCCAGCATCGTGACCTGGAATATTTTAAACACGTCGAGGCCGTTAAGCCTGCCTACGCACATCGAGCAATCGTCGCCTGGTCCATCGGAGTTTGACCCTTGTTCTGCATGCAATGCTTTTGTTGAGACCGGTGAAAAACATGTTTGTGATCCACTGCTGGTCAGCCTCTGATGTGGGTCCAAATCAGTTGTTGTCAGATAGGATGAGATTCGCGCGGGGTCCGCCGAATTAGACATCTCCCACCACACCCACGATACTTCAGGCAGATTGCAGCTTTGCCACCCCAGGGAGGGGGCGAGAGCAACTTCGCCGACTGTGTCCCCGTGGAAGACTTGAGCCAAATGGCTACGGAAAAATTCCCCGCCGATTTTGGTGGCCAACTGGGTCTTGGGTTCCCGGTTCCGGGTTCCCGGGTTCCTGGTTATTGGTTCTGGGCCGATACCTATGTTACTGGAGGGGGGGGATCAACAATACTCATTCCCCAATCAGGGCTTGCAATGAAAGGGTCCTAGCAAATATTGAAAGATTTGGCGAAAATTCCCCGCCGATTTTGGTGGCCAGCTGGGTCTTGGGTTCCCGGTTCCGGGTTCCCGGGTTCCTGGTTATTGGTTCCGGGCCGATTTCGGTGGGTTCCGAGTCCCCGGGTTCCTGGTCGGTCTCCTCAGCGATCCCTTCATCGATCCCACGATTCATCACACCATCCACTGGTTGGGTTTTTTATCTGGTGTAATTCTTCAGAGGTGAGAGTTCCAAAACAAAAAACCTCGGAGGTCGGCGGCGGCGGCGGCGGGAGCGTTTCCGCCGTGCCCCAGGGCGCCTGGGTCGGGGGCAATCGCCCGCAGGCGGGCCTGGGCTTCAAGCCAGGAGGACATCGGACTGTTGGCTCCCCATGGAGCCACGAAGCGTGCGAACCTCGGAGGTCGTGGGAGAACAACAAAAAAAACGAACAAAAAGAATAAAAAAATATTAAAAAAAAACGGATCCCTCCTCTTCGAGCCCGCCGAGCCTCCCCGAGCCCGGCCATCGCCCGGCATCGGGCCCCCGCGGGGTCCCCCGCGGCGGGGCGGGGGCGGGGAGCGGGGGGCCGCGCCTGCCCAGGAAGGCCGCGCGAGCGCGTCGTCGTCGTCGCCGCCGCCGCCGTCATCGTCGTCGTCGTCCCCGCCGCCGTCGTCGTCGTCGTCGTCGTCGTCGTCGTCGTCGTCGTCGTCGTCGTCGTCGTCGTTGCCGCCGTCGTCGTCATCGTCGTCGTCGTCCCTTCAGCTCCGTCTTCCTTCCTGGTCATCCCGCCACCGGGCCCTCCCCCCTGGCACGCTGAAGCGTGCTATACAAAATGCCAGGAGAAGTGAAAGCCGAGTGCTGTCTGGCAGGGCCTCTCCCAACTTCCCGAGCGTCCTCCTCCACCTCCTTCTCGGGGGGCGCCCAGCTGCGTGCACCACCCCCCGTTCCTGAGGCCACAGCCTCGAGCGAAGTGCGACAGACTCGGGCTCCCAGGGCCCAGCTGCCTCCGAAACGCCAGAATGTCGGTCCAAGACAGGCCACGTTGGCCTCAAAACGGCTCAAGATGGCTTCGAGGCGGCCTACTGGGCTTTCGAGACATCCCAATAGAGCCTCAAAAACCTTCCCCCGAAGGTCGCGAAAAAGCACAGCCCAGCGACGTTCCCAAGGTGGAATACTGTTTGCAAATTTTCCCAACTCCTCCTCCCGCTCTCCTCCCGCTCTCCTCCTCCGCCTCCTCCTCCCTCCCTCCCTCCCCCCTCCCTCCCTCCTCTTCCCTGCTCACTCCTCCTCCCGCTCTCCTCCTCCCGCTCTCCTCATCCCTCCCTCCCTCCCTCCCTCCCTCCCTCCCTCCCTCCCTCCTCCCCCCCTCCCTCCCTCCCTCCCCCCTCCTCTCCCCCCTCCCCCATCCCGCCCTTGCCCCAGAGCAGGTGGCGCGCATCGCGGCCAGCAGGGCGGTGGCCCGCCGGAGACGGGCGGCGGCCGACCGCGCAGCGGCCCACGGGCGCGCTGCACCCGGGGCGGGCCGCCTCGACGTCCGCCTCGAGGCCAGGCCCCGCCCCTCCGCCCGGCCTCCCGCCCTGCCCCGCCTCCCTCCCGTCCTCACCAGAGGACTGGGGCCCACAGAGGACGCACGCGCCCAGCTATGTGCATGAGCGCCGCCCCTCGATCCGCGAGACTGGCCGCGCGATACGCACGTTCGGGCAATGCGTACTCTTGGAACCAGCGTGGATTCATGTACGTGTACGTCCTTCTTTCGCTCCTGACCCCCGTCCTCCTCCACAATTACTCAATATGAATACTACTCTCCCTCTTCCCCTGATGACGGCCTGGGAATATTCGCCCACCCCCCCGCGCACTGTTTTTTACCAACAGGATTCCCGGGAGTTGGGTTTTCGCCTGCGTTTTCTTTCAAAATGCTGCTCTCGCTGAGGCGCCGGCCTCATTTCTGTTCCCGAATCGTTCCGAATCGTGCTCCCGCTGCAGCGTGGGCCTCATTTTCGGATCGGTGTTTTGCCTCCGTCGTTCAGGATGGCGTTCTCGCCCCAGCGCGGGCCTCTTTCTCGCGCGCCCATCCGCCCGCCACCACCGCGCCGCACCACGCCCCGCCCCGCCGCACGCACACCCACCGCCATTTCCACCCACCAACGCACGCACGCACGCACGCGCACCACCACCGCGCACCGCCACCACCACCGCACTACCCCACCCACCACCACCACGCTACACCGCGTCACACCACATCACACGCGCGCACACACAGACACACACGCACGCACGCACGCACGCACGCACGCACGCACGCACGCACGCACGCACGCACGCACGCACGCACGCACACGCACACACACACACACACACACACACACACACACACACACACACACACGCACACACACACACACACCACCACCGCCACCACCACCACCACCGCCATCACGCACGTACGCACCTGGCCCACCACCAAACCACCAAGACGCCACACCACGTCACACCACAGCACACGCGCACACACGCACACACACACACACATACACACCACCACCACAACCACA